CTGAGTTTAAGGTTTACCAGAAAAAAAATAAGGGATGACCATAAAAAAAAAGTGGAACTGATGAGCTCAGGATTTCAGTACTTGACAGATCATACCTGCAACTTCTCAAGCTTTATGCATCCACCATATTTGTGATGCATACTTGCATAACATCTTCTTTATGCTTATTTTCTTCGCGATCCTCAACGATTTGCCAAATTGGTTTATCGTCATCTGTTACTTTCCCAAATTCACATTCATGAGCTCGAGTCAGTAATTGCTTGCAGACAGTCTTAGCTTCCTGAAAACTCTATGGATTAGAAGACCTGATAAGGAAAACATTATTACAAATTTAAAGCAGAACATCGCTAAAAACTATTTAAAATAAATGCTCTTAAAAAAGACAGTCAATATTGAAGGACGACTTAATAAGTTATACAGATTTTTGAGATATTTAGAAGCTTAGTCATAAGAATTTAACTATTAATTGGATTGGATATGGTGATTTAGCTGATGCAGTCTGCTTCGTTTCACTATGTGTAGGGCGGATCTGGACAGGGTGCATCTCGGGGGCACCATCTCGAGTGCACACTTGTAATACTTCTCAACTTCATCATGTTTAACTTAGTTTTGTCAAGGCAAAGCAAGATTATTTAACTACTTAGCTATATCTAGATGATCTGCGCCAAACATCTAAAAAAGTACTTATAATTTATGGATAACAGTGCTTCTAAAAAGTTCATTACAGCATAACACACTGGTAGCAAAATGAAATCTAAAACTTCAACTGTGTAGTCCATCAAAATAATAAAATCGGAGTGGTTCTGCATCCTTCTATCTGCCCTGTTTTCCATACGACACCGCCACATCATCAGGTATTGCTGCAACAGTGGGATGACTTTCACCAAGACATTTCTCACGTATATGTAATGCATCGTTTAATAAGCTGGCTGTCTCCTTATACTTATTTTGATCACTGAAGAAAAAACTGAATTCAATTGAATTCGAACAGGAAATCCTACATTAAAATATTGAGTGAAGGCACAGATTCTCCTCAAGATTGTTTAACAACTACCTTAAACTTTCATGTTAAGATGGATCTGAAACTCTTACAAGCATTTCTTTTCTGGGAAATAAACAGAATCAGCCTAAGAGAGGTGGAAACAAAAAAAAAAAATTTCCAATTTCTCAAATAACCATAATGGAAACAATTATTTTAATCAAAATCATAATGATGATCAAAAACGTAATCTCACTGCTGTTCTTTTAACGAAGTGAAAGAAACACTGATAAACAAGGGCCAGAATAATAAGCATTGTTGCGACATCCGGATGATTGCGTCCAGTCATTTTTTTAAAATCTTCCAGAGCCTCCTTGCAGAGTGGTGCTGCCACTTCATACCTTCCCTGCAATGCATACTGTACTACCTGCAAAATTCTCAATAAATTAATAGTTCTAAGACTAGTTCGAAACGCAACTTCTCTGAATAAATCCAAAAAATTTCTACCAGGTTAAGCAAAGTTCGAAGACGAGCTGGCATTTTATAGCCAATAGATGCACTTGTTGCCAGTGAATGAACTGGTGTCAGATGTACAAACTGCCCAATCATGTGTCCTATAACTTGATTCATTATTCTAGCAGTGTTCCAGTGATTAATTATACGCTACAGTTTATGAATTGTAACAATACAATCTAATCAGGACGTAATATATCGCCATATCAATGTTACATTCATTGCATTTCTAACAATGACACAACTATACACTGAATATAACCAAATATGCACAAGTGATGTGAAAAAATAGTGTTAACATTGATAATTAAATCAATTGACAAATAGCAAAAGAAAATGTAGTACCACTTATTTCACTTAATAAATTGTACTACATATGTAGTACCACTTATTTCCTCCCCTTTTGGACCCTTCCACCTAAATTCTGAGGGCCTCAGGAGTATTGTCACTTCGACTGTCAATGATCCATGCTTTTGTCTCGAATTTCAATATCGCGAAATTCCAAATAAAAATAAATTCCTTATCCAAATTTTAAGTAAATGTTAACAATAGTCTGAATCATTTAACCAATTTACATTCTTTAAAATTATTTCCCATACGTTTCTTTTATCTTTGTCTAACAAAAATTCACATCTTTATTTTAATGACAAAGGATGTCCAATTTACATGCTAACCTTCCCACCTGATCTTGTTACAATGCTTATTATGCAATTGGATATTGTTTCCTTTGTATCTGAAAGGATACCCTTTTTTTTAAGGTTTTATGTAAACCAATCCCACTCCATTAACACATATATACAGCTCTTTATAAGATAGCAAAAATGCCTTTACACCTGTATCAACGATACAGTTATATCCCTTCTCGATTAAATTGCTCTCTACATCGATATTCTGTTCCTTCCTGTTGCTTTTTCAATTGGTCTTATTCATCACTTTTATATACATTAATAAAAGTTAATAATCCTTTCTGCTGGATCATTTTCGTGGCATAACTGACGCGCTTACGAGCTTCCACCGTAATAAGGTAAGCCTTCGTTAAAATTTCTTGTGTACCTATAACTCACATCGAAATCTTTCAAACCCTTCACTCCGCAACAATATTTGATGGAACTATAACACAATATCACTGAAGCCAAATCTTACTGCAAGCCAACCCATTAAAATTCCTGCTGACAATTGACTAATCACAACAAAATCAAATCACGAAAGCTTTTGCAATTTCGAATTTTTCACTATAATTTAGATTGTATTTTCAATGTCGAATAAATACCCAAGGATTTCTCAAATTTTTAATACTAACCAGTAAGGGGGTGTCGTGAAATATTAAAGACTGCCAGATAAATTATTTGCCGAGCTCAATTTGGGTAATCAAATTCCAATCAAATCTATCCAAATGAAGCGCTTAATGCGAAAGCATTTGTCCGGAGGTCGATTTGTCTTGTGAATACGCAACAGTAAGGGATATTAACCTTTATCGTGAG